ACAAGTATTGCCGATGTAGTTGTTGTTATTGCTTTAGCCTTTGCCTTTATTACTGGGGAGTTTTTGTTGTTGTTGTTGTTGCTGCTGCTGCTGCGGCTGTTGTTGTTGGTTTCCTCAGCATCTTCGATATTTGCGTCAGCTTGTGGCACAGTAGTGACTCCCTCGAGCATTCGTGCGTAGATTAGAGGCAGATTGTTGTTCTTCTTCTTGTTGGTCTCAGCTGAGTTTGCGGTTGAGAGTCGTCTGCAAGATTTTTACGATCGTTGGCGTGTGGCCCATGTCAACTGAAGAAGCTTGGCTGTTGCTGCAATTTGCCGTTGGCCGGGCCGAGACTGGCCTGGACTGGCATATGTTGCCTAAACCGGCTTGGCTTTGAGCACGCGTCCTGGCTCAACAATAATTTTGAGCCAGACGATGATGTTGCCGCTGCCGTTGCCATTGCTGATGACGACAGGTTCCAGGACTCTGCAGCAGCAGCAGCAACAGCAGCAGCAGGTGCGCCGCCCAGGAAAGGAATCACTACGCAGACTGACTGCGCAGCCGTCGCTCTTACACGGCCTTACAACGAAAGGACATAAACATAAATGAGCCGCTGTAATATTGAGCGACGCTTACAGGTGCCTTTTGCCTCTTGCCTACAGTCTCCTGCCTCCTGCCTACTCTCTTGGCGTCCTTTGCTCAACATTGCCGCCGCTGTCCATGCCTCTGCCTTTTGTGCCTTTTAATTGTTCGGCGCGCGCGCCCTCAGCTCATTTTTTCTTCTTCTTCCTCGTCTCCTTCGTCATCCTCTCGTCTCGTTTTAAACGCGCTTCACCTGCACCTCAACAACTGACCTAAGACATCTTTTTTGTGCGATGGCCTCCACCTTTTCGCTGCAACTATTATTGTTATTAATAGCCAAAGTCAAAGTCACCTGCGCGCATACCAAAGATACAAAAATTAAAAACAAAAAAACAACAAAAAACGAAAAAAAAAGGAACGATCGAAACACCTTTGGCCGGCGCTTGAGCGCATCTCTAGGGGTAGCCGGAAAACGGATGTGCTGCGGGTTAGGGTTAGAGTGTCTACGCTTTTCCTCTGATTATTTCTTCTTCTAATTTCCACTTGAGTTTTCTTGGGGTTGCAACAGCTTTTTCGTGTGCAGCGCACAGCCCGTATTTTGTTTTCTTCAAAATACTCGCAGTATATATATTATTTTTTTGATACCATTTTATTGACTCGACTGCGCGCCTCAATGCGAGAAATGTAAATTCAAACGACGGCGTGACAAATTATGTGGGTTCAGGTGTTAAACTTTGTTATTGTTCGACTCACATCGACTCGAGGGGTGAACAAACTGTGTAGCCGGAGCAGCCCACATGGATTACAAATCGACGCAGAGCATATGGCAACTAGCCATGCCACTCGGCCTCTTGGCCTCCACTTGGCTCTCCGCATCATAAACTCACGTGCGCCTCCAGAGCCGGCGGAGGCTTTGTCGGCACTTGCCAGCCAAAAATAAGAGTAAGAAAAGTCCTTGAATTGCATTTTTCTGGAGCTGCTGCTGCATATTTCATTGTTCGATGTTCGCTGTTCGATGTCAGCCTCTTTTTTCTGCCCATATTTTTGTCAATTTCGATCAATTTGTTGCATGCCACAGGGCAAGTGGCAAGCGTCATTCTGTCCTCAGGTGAAATCCTGGCCAATGCTCGCGAAATTGGCGCTGGTTTTGATTGTCTGATTGTCTGATGGTCTGATGGTCGAGCCCAGCTTTGATGAATGAAACGAAATAATGAGCCGCACACACACACACTCGCACACACACACTCGCACATACTGTAGATATATAAAATCGAAACCCGATTTGGTCGCTCGCCGATCACGCGTGTGATTTGTGCACTTCCATACTTCATTTCGGGCGATTTGAAGTGCCGAAAAGCGCATTGATAGTCTGTCCAAAAAAAGCCAGAAAAAATGTTCGATCATTGCGATCTCTGCGAGGCAATTGCTCTCCTGCTTTCTCACTCTCTGTGGCAATTAGTTCGTTCATCGAACACTTATTGGCGTTCTGGCGATCCCGAGCTGTAACGCGGTCTTTTACAAAGCGCATTCCTAGCGTGCTCCGATGGCTGCAGATCAAAGGCCACCGCAGCACCCGAAACAAGGAAAGAAGCCATTGCCAACGTGCAAATATTTTGCTACAAAATCAGGTTTTGGGACAAATATTTGGAGCACTTTGCACAATTTGTTACAAAATGTTGTTAAATGGATTCGCAAACTTCGACTTCACTTGTCCTTGATAGTACGCGGAATGGAATATGGAATATTTTTCGCTTACAGCTATTTGATAGCGGCAAAGAAGATTCCATTACGTTGCAAATGAAACCAAATACCCTTTTATCCTGTGAGTAAAGGAAAAATTATAACTAAATTGCTACCAGAACAGAAGATTCCATTACTTTACAATTAATTCCAAACTAGTATACCCACTTTTAACATGTGCTATGCAAAATTATAACTAAATTGCGAGAAAACTGTCAAAACGAAATTGTATTATTATTTAAGAGCTACCAGAATAGAAGATACCATTACTCTACAATTAATACCAAAATAGTATACCCATTTTTAACATGTGCTATGCAAAATTATATCTAAATTGCTGGAAAACTCTTAAAAGCTTAACAAAAATTGTATTATTTTTTAAGAGCAAACAGAAAGGTATATTGTACTGACCGCAGATATGATTTTCAATTTCTTTTAGAGTGCCAATCGCTAGTTATAATTGAACCTAATAGAACATGTTGGCAGGCCTTTCTCATTAATTCACAAATTCAACTGATATCAGCGTCTAACAGATACATTTCTGACTGCAGAATTATAGTACATATAATTCATATTAAGAATCAATATCTCTTATATTTTTGGTCTCAGAAGAACTCTTCTGTTTACCCCTTTTAGAAAAAATTCCTAGCTTTTTCTAAATATAAGTATAAGCCGATCAAAAATTTATTTTCTGCAAAAGCTATCCTAAATCCAAGTGCACTTTATAATTTAGCTTGAATTACTAAATTAATAATTTACACAAATAAGCCAAGATGACAGGATTAAATAGATCCTTGGCCACGATGCTATCAATAATAACGAAATAGGTGGACAGCTGCCGGAATTATGATCTGAGCTGACGACCCTTCAAGCCAATTAATGTGACCAGTTTTCAAAATGAATCAAGCAGAATTATTGCAGGAGAGAATAACTAATCTGCGGGACTCACTAGCCACAACATTTAGAGAATTCTCATCGACTACACCGAGACAAAACAGAGTAGTTTCAAGAATATACGAATTCAAAAGTAAGTGTACAAACAATATATTTATCAACCGACTTCAAAAAAGGAGGAGGTTTTCAATTCGTCTGTATTTTTATACCCTGTACCCAAAGGGTACAAGGGTATATTAGTTTTGTGCGAGTGCACATGGAACACACAGAAGGAGGCTTGGTAGACCCCACAAAGTATATATATTCTTGATCAGCATGACAAGCCGAGTCGATATAGCCATGTCCGTCTGTCCGTCTGACCGTCTGTCCGTCTGTCTGTCTGTCTGTATGAACGCAAGGATCTCCGAAAGTATAAGAGCTAGAATAATCAAACTTGGTATACAGATTCTCCTGAGACCGAGAAAGGACGAGTTTGTTCATTTTTTCTGATCCACCCCCCCACTCCCCCCCTATTACCGATTTTCTATAACTCCCGTAATTCTTGGAATTTTGAACTAAAATTTGGTAGTCATATTAGGTTAGTAATTATATATCCGTATACCAAGTTTCATTATGATAGAATGATCGAAAAGAAAGTTATAGCCATATAACCAGGCCCAATGCACACATACATACATATGTACAAGTACACAAACACGCATAAGGCACGATTCTGATGTAAATGTAAATGTATGTATGCATGCATGGAATATTTTATATTTAATTAGTTAATATTTAGTTAATTAATTAAATTAATTTAGTTAATTAATTAAATTAAATTAATTAATTAATTAAATTACTTTTTTGTGGGGTGGTACAGGGTATTTAAGAGTTGAGCCTGCTCGACTTTAGCATTCCTTTCTTGTTTTAATTTTTTTTATTTATACAAATAAAATTTACAAAATCGATAAACAATATCAATATCGGCGAGCAAGTAATGCCTGTCAAGTTCTTAGCAACAACCCCCTCCACAACATTCAATAAAGGCTCTGAAAGGAATTATTAAATAAAAATTCCGTAATTTTCTGTCTGTTTTTTGCTTTCAACTTTATTGACGAAATAAAAAAAACTAAACATAATTACAATGCAAATAATTTATAAATTAAATATCTGGCTGTAAGAACTAAAGACGCACACATTGGTGTTTATAAATAATTAGTGAGGCTTGTGTGACTTATGCTAGTTTAAATAAATTACAAATAATTGATAAGTTTAGCTTGGAGGGGGCACATAAATTTTGACAATATAGTATGCTTTATGTAGAGGACTCTTGTCAGGGCTTCTCATTTTAGTCTTTGGTACGTTTAGCTGCCTTTTCTTTGCTTCTTACTAGGCCAATTTTGGGTTGGGTTTTCAGGTGTAAAACAAATTCAAAATGTATGTATAAACCATTAAAACGAAATAAATTAAGCTAATGCTACACTTAACTATCAATATCAATAGTCTTAGTACTTAGGCTAACGTTTCAAAGTCTTGTCCATTCATCAAATATATACAAATCTTAGGCGAAATGCGCGTAATGAGCCAAGTGGCTTAACAACTAGGGAGGGAGTCGGAAACTCACTGCCATTTTAACAATTCACTTTCAATAGCAGGGCCTAAACGAAACAAACTTTGGCTTCATAGCGACGACTTAGACGACTTTGCTGGCGGGCCAACTGGGTTCGGGAATGTGTGTGTGTCTCGGCTATAACTATTACACTACTTATATGGTATATCGTATCATAACACTACTCGTAACTAAATCCGCGATCTCTCCTCCCCCTTCAGCAGCTGCTGCTGCTTACCTCCATCTTGATGATGGGGCTGGGCGTCATGGGCCCCATTGGGGCTGGGGGCGGCTCGTCATGACGACTCTCCCGATGACGCCTCAGGTCGACCTTGCGCTGGAAGGACTGATCGCAGAGGCCGCAGCCGAAGGGCTTGTAGCCGGTGTGCTTCCGCATGTGTGTGATCAGGTTGGAGCTCTGGCTGAAGGCTTTCAGGCACACTGTGCACTTGTGCGGCTTCTCCCCTGCAACGAGCAGAAATCAATAAAATAAAATCAATTATTATAAGTGGGAGAAACGTTATTAATTGTCGTGGCTCATTGTGTGGCCCGACAAGCAATTAGACAAATTGAAAGCAGATAAGAATCATCGCTGATTTTTCAAACACGCTCGAGAGGGTTGTAAAATCACTCGGGCTTGACGTGATTCCCACATATAGGTGGTGTGGGTTCACATGCTAGGGGGTTCACATATTTATACTAGCAAGAAATTTATTCTTGTAAGAAATTCTTCTTTTTTTTTTTTGTATTTTATTTAAAACTTTCCCGCGTGGACAATCATTACATTTTTTAAATAAGCTTGACGATTAATTATTTCATTTATGAAGAAATTCATTGAACTATTTATATTTTCTGAATATGCTGTTAATAATCTTTATAATTACTTGTCTGCTCCCCAGTTTCGCTCTCCCAGAAGATATTTGAAAGAAAGAAAGAAAGAAAGAAAGAAGCCTAAGCTTAGCTTGAACCGCTATTAAAAAAATTTCTTTAATTTAAAGATATAATACTAGCTTCGAAACAGAATCTGAATTATGGACGTAGACTATCTGCTGCATGTTAAGTCTTACTTGATAATCTTCCAAAATTTATAAAATTCAGGTGAGTTGATTTCAATTCAAAATTTATAAAATATGGAATAATTAATAATAATTCTTTAAAGCCGACTGGCTAAGACTGAGCTGTTGCTTGCAATTAAAACAAATCTATACTCTTATATTGTAAACTTAACTTAGTATTATTTACTCTTAAAAACTGAAGCCTATTCAGCTGATCTGCATCGCGTTTTAAACCCATAAATGGCTCACCCCATGAAAGCTTTCATGCGGGTCAATAACTAGGCTACAATAACTGCCTTCCTCTCTCTCCATCTCCATCTCCATCTCCCTCTCTTATCTAATGCGCTAAATGCTATTCAACTTACCCGTATGGATATATGTGTGCTTCTTCATATCCGACTTCTGATGGAACCGCTTGCCACAATACTGGCAGGGATAGGGTCTCGTATCACTGTGTATGAGCAAGTGTGTGGATAGTGTGGAGGAGCGCTTGAACGACTTGCCGCATTGCTTACACTGTAAGGTGGCAGAAAAAAAGAAAATGGGAGCACATTAGTATACAATACAATACATATACATATATAACAAATATTTGCGCAACGAGTCACAAATTTCCCGACCCCTGTTGCCACAGCTGGTGGCAAAAAAATATAAATATACAAAATACAAAATGGAATGAAAGAGAAAAAGGCAAATCTCATAAAGCACATATTTAAATGTGCTAAATTCGGGCTGGGCTTATGAATTAAACTAGATTTGTGAGTGCTGTCAATATTTGGCCAGACGCAGCCCCAACTTTGGTCTATGTAGTACACAGTTTTTTCATGTCGCACAAATATTTTTGCACTAGCCTTTTTCGAAATCGAAACAGCTAAGCAAATGGGTGCCTCAATGCCAAAATCTCGAGTGAGTGCTCCAGAAAATACAAGCTCGTAATTAACCCAGCCATATTGATGTCTTCATTTTTAATGATAGGCATTAATTATTAATTTTTGAATCCCAAATACAGCTGTCTGTGTGGACTTGGATATGGGTAGGGGTATGGGTATGGGTATAGGTCTGGATAGTGTAACATCTTCCAGTCCCAGTCAGATTAAATGTTTACACAGTTTGTTGCAGCAACATGCTGTTGATGTGCTCGTATGTGTGTGTATCTAAACATTGTCGCCAGTGTTTGCTCAACTCAATCATGCAGGCTATACTTTACCCTACTCTATGAGCTGCTACGTGTACTCGTATTTAAGAAGAAAACAGAGTCTGAGTAAAGTACAAGTAAGTAAAGGGGCGACAGAAATTTTTGAAAAAACCTCACCAGCTACGCACATTGTAAATTGACACAAGTGTTGCTTATTTAAAATATGTACAACAATTTCTTTTATTACGTCTTCGTCTGCTCCTCCCTACTGTCTTCTGTTTTGGGATTTTCTATTTGCGCATTGCATTTGAGTTGTCGTTGAGTCGCTGAGTCGCTGAGTCGCTCAGTCTCGAACTCCCTGAATTATGAACCGAACTAGACTGGGCCTAATTAGTTTGCCATTGTCATTGTGGAGCCGTCCCACAAAGTCAATTTGCTCAAGTCTCAAAACGGAAGTTGGCAAATCTACAATGCGACGTGGAGAAACCCAAAGGGAGCTCAGTCATTCAGTTAGTGAGTCAGTTCATTTTTTTGGTGCCGACATATGCTGCCCTGTCTGACTGCGCCGGTGGGCCCGCCAGATGTAAAGACTTACAACCATTGCTATAGGACCAAAAACAAGAATTAAAAAAATTGAAATAATAGTGAAAAGCAATGAGAAAAAAATTGCTGACAAAATGTTTGTGCGCCTGCGTCAGCGCTTGGATAAACTTCGGCACCATATGTCCTTCCTTTGCCGAAACCTTTCAGGCATATCGCATTTCACTTAAGCGAACCCCGCACCAAAAACCCTGGCAGAGCCACACACGCCACGTTTAATGTGTGAAAAAATTTAGTTGCTGGCGTTGAAGTGCTTTTGATATAAACACAATATGACAACGGGTGCAAGCAGCTTGAACCCGGACCCCGAACCCTAGTCCGAGTCCGAGCCCGAATCGAAGCCCCAGCCAAACTCTCGACCAGTGCTCGCTCAGCCGTCAGTCGTGTGCCTCGTGTTTGGGCTTCGTTGCCAGCTAATGTGGCAGAAAATTCATAACCAAGTGCCTACACGAACTTCGCTGGGCCGTCTCTCATAAATTGAGATTATGATTGCACGAGCATTTTATGTAATTTGAATATAAATCTTCAACCCCCTGAACCCGCCCCCGCCCCCTCCAGTTACCTGCTCTTCACTCCAATATGACCTAATGCCGCCCCAATAGACCCCAACAATCAAAATTATTTGATTAACTAATTGCGTGATTTCGATTGGACTTAATTGAATTTCCATGGAATAGTTCAGCGTCTAAGTATAATTTTTTATTGTTTTTTTTTTTTTGTATTTGTATTTGTATTTTTGTGTCACTTTAGCAAATTGAACAGTGGGGTACGCGGACAATTAAAACGCAGGGACCTTCACAATAAAAAACAATTAACACACAGCCCGAGAGGACAAACAGACAAATTAGACACGCAGCTTATGCAATGCACTCGAATGGGTTAAACGGGAGGGGAAGGATTGGTTTATTATTGTCTCTCCGATATCACGTTATAAAGCTATTAGACCTGCTAGTATTGGAGAATAACAGATTTTGAATAGATTTGTCATGTCCGCCATTTTTATTGCTCCAGATAGTGCTTTACGAAATAAGATATTTGGGCAATTGTTTTGAACGATCCCCCAAATGCTAGCATCAAATATTTAAAATTCAAGGAATTTGAGTTTCGAATTCTCGAGCTACGTTTTTTATAAGCTATATTTCGAGTAAGCGGTAAGGCCTAATAGATATTAACTAATATAATGCAATTGTGTTTCTAAGTTTTGGCATGAAGACACGAATTGTAAAATCATTCTTAGCCAACAATTTAATCAATTTTCCGAGAGTAAAAAGTCACCAAAAAATTGCACGATTTCGAAAGAAAGAAAAAAGAAAGGGAGTTTCAATTCTTTTAATCTAATGAATGTGAGGACTGAACTTTAAAATAAAACAGATACTTATTACCTTCAGCAGCACTATTTCTTCTGACACTAACTAAACACTGAGGACTGTTATTTTAAATTACTAAAGATTCTCCTATTTTTAACTATAAACAACATATTTACAAATGTTGTAATCGAAAGCTGTAAAAATATTCAAAACTAAAGTTTTCGCTCCTTTTTGATTATGACAACAAATTGTGGAAGCCCTCAAAATATTAGAATTGGAATAAGGTTTTAAGTTCCCTCCACATAAATCCCGCTGAATAAAATAGTATAATGAACGGAAATAATGCCTGAATTGCTTAATTGCCGATGTGCTTGTTGGCTGACTTACCTGAAAATTTCTGGCGCTGCGTTTCTCCTCGCACTCGCCTTGGTATGAGGACGACGAGGACGAACGACGCGCGACATCTGTGCAGTTGCCAATGATGATGGCCGTTGAATCAGGATGTTGATGTGGCTGGGGCAGTTGTTGTTGTTGTTGCTGCTGCTGCTGCTGCTGCTGTTGTGCCTGCAACTGCTGCTGCGACTGCGTCGTGTGTTGTTGCTGGTGTTGATTACGCATATAGCCGAACTCGGCAGCAGCCACCAGCCCCATGAGCGCCGCAGCCGAGCGACTCTCCTGCTGCTGCTGCTGCTGCTGCTGCTGCTGATGCTGATGATGCTGATGATGTTGCTGCTGCTGTTCGCTCTCCACTTTGGCGTTAAGGCCGAGCTCCCGTTGTGTGGCCGTTGCCTTCAAATGTTGCGTCAACAGCTCCAAATTGTTGCCTGTCAGGCCAGCCATGAAGGCATTGCGATGCGCGTACAGCTGCTGTTGCGCTGCCTCAAAATCCAGATCGGCGTTGCCGGGGGAACGGGCAACGGGCGCCGAATGCGGAGCTGCCGCTGAGAGGGATGAGAGCGGCGATTGCAGCGCCGAGATCGCCGAGCGCGCCTGACAGGTCGTGCGCCGTTCATACTTGAACTTGCGCACAATGGGATCCACATAGCACGGCTCCTGCTCCTGCTCCGGCTCATAGTCCTCCACCTCGTGGGGCGTTCTTTGCTCGCACATCGACGCGGGCGACCAAATGATGTTGCCCTGCGAGCGTCGCTTGTTGTTTCCAGCCTCCGGAGTGCCCACGGCCTTGAGGTTGACCGCCCGCAGAGGCGGGGGCGTGGCCGTGCTCAGCTGCAGGGGCTCTTCGCCGCCACTGAGACTGCCGGCACTGCTGCCGCTGCTCTGGTCATGATCCGAATCGGAGCCAGCACGTCTAGAAGGCAACTTGCTGGGCGTGCCTCGGGGCTTTGTGCTCAGATTCAGGGGCATATCCTCGTCCTGCTGCAACAGCAGATCGCCACTGCTGCTGGCACTGTGCTGATGCAGTTCCTCCTTCTCGGGGGTCAAGGCGTAGTCGCGCTGATTGAGCACCGAGGCGGGAGATTTGGGCGTTGTGGGTGTCATGGGCGTGCCCAGAGCTGTGGCGGAGCTGAGCAAAAACTGCGGCCATAGCAGGGCACTGGAGTAGAGCAGTGGGTTGTACAGGAAGGGTAAATCTGGGAAAGGCAAGTGCGTTGCGGGAAAGCAAGCAAATGGTTTGGTGAATAAAAAACTGGCATAACATTTTCTCACTCTTGCTTTTTTTCTGATCTTTTTTTAAACTTTTCGAGAGATTTATTCCTAAATGTATAAAAATATGTTGAACAGTATTCTAAAGAGATCCCTTTGTTATCTTCTACTGCACTCTAAAGAGGTTTTTAAATGAGAAACATTTGTTTAAGCTGGAAACCTTTTTGTAGCACTTGAAGCTATGCAGGAACTTGAGGCCCATTCGCACAGTTTCAAGTACTATATATACTATGTATATAGTATAGGTATAAACATATTAGTAGAAATATATTTTTAAAATGTAGTATTTTATCATCATAATCAATGTTCGAGTTTTCAAAATATGTATTATTTTTCGAGAGAACAAAACTTATCCTTTGCGAATATATTCTTAAACTGAAAAGTTGCATCAATTTTAAACGAAACATATAGCCTATACTTGTTTAATTTTTTCATTTTGGGATGAAAATCTGAATCAAGACATTTAATTTGATAAACTTTTCTATTTGAAGTATTCATCTAAGTGAACCTGAATTTATTGCAAGTATTCCTGATCGATCTGGACTAAAACATAACTCTAAATATTGTGAAATCAGTAGACTGTTAGGGACTGGGGATTAATAATTCCATCTATATATAGCTGCCAATTTCTACTATACACTGCTCTAGCAGAACATCCCACTCCTCCAACAATCGGCTGAGCTTTCTCCATCCATTCCCGGTTCATCTCTTACCTCTCGTGTTGAGCTTTTGTGCCGCCGCCGAGGCTATCACTGTATTGAAGGCCGAGGCGCGTTGCATCCATTGCTTGTCCAGCGCTGGACTGCTGTAGGCCGCCAGCTGGCTGGGCTGGGAGTGCGGCGACGGTGGTGGCGATAAGTGATTCATAGTTAGAGGTTTGGGGACTTTGGAGTCTGATCGAGCACTTGGAACTGCACAGAACTTGGCCTCTTAACTTGCACGGAGCAAATCGATATCGATATGTTTATAAATTTGTGTGATTATTATTTTGAATTCTTTTTCATAAATTTGCAGACACTATTTAGAAATCACTCGGCCAGATTATTTATTTGCACACAATACTTGTATTTATTCTTCTCTGATCAAATATTTGTTGTACTTGTATGTATGTTTTTTGTTGATATTTCTTTTAACAGCCGCAATAACTTGGCTCAAATGGTTAGCTGAGACGCACACGTCCGTATTGCTCGGTGCTTCGCACCTGACTGAATCTTTGGCCGATTGTGTGGTTCTAAATTGAGGCAACGGTGAAGGCGCTTCGCAGTCAGAGCCAGCGACAGAGTTGGCCCGAAAATCGAGGCTGCCAAGCAAAGCATGCATGTGTGTGTGTGTTAGTATGTTGATGTGTGTGTGTGTGTGTGTAAGCAAGTCGAATCAAAACGAGCCCTCTGCTTGTGGTATTGGTGTTGACTTTAGTGGTGGCTAGAACGGGCCCTTGCATTTGTGTTGGTGGCCAACTCTGGTTTTTCACCTTTGGCAGCAGTTGGCGGCTAGTTATTGTTGCTGTTGTTGCTGCTGCTGCTGTTGCCTGTTATCCTGCGTGTCTGTTGTAAGGGTCAAGACAACGCACAGTTAGCCGACTGTGGCAGTGGCAGAGGCTAAGGCTCAGGCCGCGGCAGCAGCAGCGACGCCAGCGGTGCGCATGCCTATCAGTTGCTTTGATCGTGCGGCCTGCCTGTTGATGTTGTTGTTGCTGTTGCTGCTGCTCTGGTTGTTGTTGGCAGCACGCGTTTCCTACTAATTGGTATGCAGCTAAAGTTTGGCGGGCGTTTGTATTTTTTTCATTTTTTTTTGCTTGACTTCTTGTATTTGTTTGTTGTGTTGGCTCTCGCGAGTGTTGTGCTGGACTCTCCCTCTCCCGGCGTCCTATAGCTACTGTTGTTGTTGTTGCTGCTGCTGCTGCATGTAGCGGCAGCATTCACACAACTGACACCAACTGCTGGCCAACATTGGCGCAGTTTTTGGCTCAAAGTCTTTGCATGTGGCCTGCGCTTTGAGCCAGCTTGGTGCGCAGTTACATGACAGGAAACTGTGACTGAGACTGTGACTGGAATCTTGCAGGACGCCGAGACATTTTGAGATTTGTTAAACAGCTTTTTTTAGACAACCCTGGCAGAGAGAGTGGCTTTTGCTTAAGATAAACATACTTAAGGGAGAAACAATATTCTCAAGCACTGCGACCTACTACATCTATTGTACTTTTTCTCTAATGAATAATCTATTGGTCTTTTTTTAATCACTTGCCTTGTGTCATCCAAAAATCTCGTGAATGCTAATAATATTTTCTGTAACAATTATTCAAAAAGCCTTCTTGCAGTATCATGCCATTATGGTAAACATATACAGCAAAGAAATATAAGGTTGAAGTGTTGGGGTTAGCAAAAGAATACTGCCATGTTTTTGAAATATTTTGATATAAAAAAGAAAATGAAATTTGTAGTAAATTAGTGTTCAATTTCTGTCCACCATTGCTTATATTTTTATATACACCTAATTATATTTTTACTCGTTTTTTTTTATACGCTTTTGATTTAACACGGTTTGAAAATTAAAAATGTTATATATATTTGTATACGATCAACAAACACAGCATACTAATAAATCTGCTAAAATACTAATATTCTGGTATATGCTGCAATATTTTGTCATTTTAAGCAACATCAACAAGTTTTAAGTATTTTCAATTCACTTTTTAATAAAGTCTTACATTTTATCCGAACACCACAGCTAACGTCATTTGCCTTCCCCCAAATAGTTGGACACGTTCTTAAATATTAAAATATTTGCAATTTACAAGTGTATATTATCATCGTTTCTCAGGGCAAATACTTCATTTGTTAATGCTTCCATTTACAATTATTTGTATATTGTATAAGTAGCTGTGATGCTAGAAGATTATTTCCCAGTCTAGGTAGAATCTATTCAACATTTTAGGCAAACATTATAATCAACTTTTGTATACCAGCAGATTAGCAGACGATATTGAATTATTAAATTGAAAAGTGTTGTGATAAAGTGTAAATACTTATCCTCATAATTTTTAAAAGATAGAACTTTAGGTGATTATGCTATTTTATAGTTTCTTAATTATTCTAGCTTTTAATATTTCCTGAAATTCCCCGTTTTGCCTAATCTTGAGTAAACAGTTGTGGTAGTCTTTGGTCTGAAAAATCTGACCAACTAACTACCGACCTTTTCCAGTACATACTTAATAATGTTATTTAAATTCCATTAATTTTTCTTTGTACCAGATATTTGCGTCTTTAAATCCAATTAATTATTAGAGACTGAAAAGATAAAATACCATAATTTTGTTCTTAATTTGGAGCTTACTAAGAGATACAAAAATGACTTTCTAGCGCTCTGTCGATTTTAAACAACTGTAGTACAGTATAATGCTTAATTGATTGATTATTTAAAATAATTTAGCGGCCAACCAATTCTACTCTGATCCTTTCATTTCTCTGAAGCGAGGTCCTGTTGGCTTTAACATCAAACTGTTACACCTGGAGAATTTTGTATGCGCACTTTTATGGTTGGCGTTTTGTAATAAGGACACAGCTGTCGATGTGTGTAAAAAGTTGTAAAAAGTGAAAGTCGTAGTTGGTCAGAGCCAATAATTCTTTTCCACTTGTTCTCATTTCTTATCTGCCAACTGATATTTTACTAAACACTTTTTGTGGGAGCTTGCTTTTCAGTTACTTTTGTGAGTTTCCTTTACCGCTTGACTGCCCTCTTGTACATACGAGTATGTCCTCACCTGCCACATTTCGGCCTTTGTCTAATAAAAAAAAACAGTAGTAAAAAAGCGCGGGCACACTTTTCCCACGTCCAGTTTTCTTTTAGTCAGTCGCTCGTCTTTTGGCGCAATTCCCGAGACAACATCTTTGCATACATTTCAAAGGACATGTGCAGGCCATTACAGGAGGCGACCCGATGCAGGAGACACCCCAGGGCACATTCCAAGACACGAGCGCGGCACGAGTTAGCGAAGCATGCCATGCATAAAACCTATGGGGGATATATCATACCCGCTAGTCATTCATTATCAACTACGATGAGGGCGAGGGCCAGTGTGGTTGGTCGCTGGCTAGGCTGCGAGTTTTGCGCCCTCGTTGCGCTTCGAAGCGCAGACGCGCGTGCCTCTTTGCCGGCTGACGCGTTGTGGCTATACGGCTATAAGGCTAGAAGAGCCCGCTAGCGATAAGACCCTGCGCAAGCGTTTTGTAACGGATTCACCTTATGCCAGGCAGCCAGCCATCTATCATTGTTTCATTGTTGATATGCGCAGTCGCAACTGCTGTCAGTCAGAAGCGCAGGTAAAAACTGCTGGCTCTGTTGGGGGAGGGGGGAAGGTAGTTGCCAACCAATTTCCATGTCTGTGCATTTTTTATCGGCGGCATTTTATTTACGACACTTTCAGTTACACCCCCAGCTACCCTCAGTCCCAATCAGTCTCGCAGTCGCAGTCTTTGTCAAACAAATCCCGTGTAACGGCGACTCGTGCGCTTGTGTTTGTGCTATTGCTGTTGTTGTTGTTGATGGAAAATGAAAATACCTTTGCACTTGGCTCGTGGCTAGAGTGGGCTCGACGCTGATTGGCCGACGGCTTTCAGGGTGGGCGTCGACGTCGCCTCGGCTCAATGCACAATAAACGAGTTTGTGCGGGAATTCAGTGTGCGAGTGTGTTTGTGTGTGTGTGAGGCTGCCGAGTGAGCGACTCTTGTACAAGTATATGTGAGTGTGCGTCGCACGCTTCATTCAGTGCTGCCTCGTGCTGTGGTGAGTTTTCGTTTTTTCGAAATGCCGTTAAGTGTTGAGCTTTGCTTTACGCTTTGCTTTGGCGCTGCTTAGAATGGATTTCAAGCGTAATTTGATTTATTCATTCATTTATTCAAGCCAACTACTTTCCTATTAACTTGTTTAAAGGTATTGGAATTATTCGCTAAATAATAATTAGATAATAGATTCGATTGGCAACGGAACTTAATCTCTTTTCAAGCGTAAATTGATATTTTCTTTTTTTATTTTTTATTGTTAAATATAATGGTAAATAGATAACAGATTTGATTGGAATCGAAACTTATTTCATTAATTTTTTAATTTCTTTAAACTACTATTTTTATTAAATTATTTAAAGGTATTGAAACTATTTGTTAAATATAATGATAATTAGATAAGATATTCGATTCTAATCCAACCTAAATCTTATTTCAAGCGTAAATTGTTTTTTGAATTCTTTTTAAAACTTATTTAGAGATATTGGAGTTATTTATTAAATATAATGATAATAATAACGTTGTAGGTTATTTTCTTGTGCGATAAATGTTGTCGGTTCTCTTACTGTGATTTAAGTTCTTAAAGGATAATATATTCGATATTAATCGAAACATATTCTCCTTTTTGGCCAACTGAGCTCTTAAATAATTGAGGGAGCAGGAATAGTTTAAATTTCCTTTCCACTCAGATTAAATATCATTATACAGTTATATAAATATGACTAGAGTTTATTGAATTCTCTTCATTATTAAATTTATTCCAAAATAGAGAAAATATGTCCGCGTTCAATAGAAAATAAAAAAGGCACCAAATTTATGCGCTTTTTTTTCAAGTTACAATATAATTTAATTTCGATGTCATTTTCTTGCTATGTACTAGTACTAGTTGAGATACTACACATAGTAAGTTTTTTTAGAAGACTTACTTGTATCTTTCAAAATTTCACCTAAAACTTTAAAAACTATTAAATAAGCAAAAATTAGTTCATAATGCCAAAACATAATCACTTTCAAATACACAGTTAGTATACATATTTTAGGCTAGAATTGAATTAGATTTATGCATTACACAATTAGTTGCTAATACAA